ATGTTAGAATACATTTTTACTTTTGACAAATTAAAAAGATCATCGATTCGAATTTTGCAATTGGATTTCTTGGCAATCCGAAGGGGGGTTCCTCCGTTTTCTAGGACGGTATAACGACGCTTATCTGTCCATCGAGCACATGTACGACATATGGGCTGTAATCTGAACTTATCATGATCGACGATAAGGGATATATTTTTCGCAAGAACGAACGCGGCGTATCTGTGTTATTAGTACCGTGAGCAATATAACAACGCATCAGTCTTTAAATTAAACGAATAAGTTCTCCGTTTATGGCATGAATCAATTCTAATTGGATTCATTTTATGCTCTCGAAACGTATTCTAAATTCGCAGACTAGGCGATAATGTCGGCTGTTTTTAATTCCTAGATCCACAAGAAAAATGATCTCTAGTCAAAATAAGTAAAGGTTACACGGTTGTGTCATTCGTCATTCGTAATTCTTACTATCATAGACGACTGAATCATTATCAAAACGATAACGATGTAACTTTACATAATATTGATAATTCTATTGCAAGCGAAATTTATTATTACTTATGACGCGATCGTGAGGAATAATAAGGACACTGTAGTGGGTCATAAAGTCCGACGATCATGTATGAAAATTTTAATAGACATCTAAGAAAGCTGAAAAATTACGAATTATCTTTAGACTAGAGACTGAATATGATAAGCTCGTCTCGTACTTTGAGCACAATATGTCATCATTCTCGACAGATCACACCCTTTGCTCAATGTATTGCATAATCAGTCGAGGTCGTCTGGCTACTATCGACTATCATTTTCTATAGTTAAGAGTCTTCTTATAAATAGATTAATCTTTATGCACAATAGGCCATTTGTTCTGTCAATGAAGAAAATTAAATCTTAATAGGAATTTCCTCTTTTTAACCCTTTGCACTCCCAACGGTCTTAAGTGTTTTATTTGAAATTTACTTTAACTAATAAATAAAGCAATTTAAATAAATAAAAGAAGACACAAATTCACTTAATTACCAGTTTTATTCACACTATTGTTGTATTCTGTAATTTTTAAGTGTATGCTATCTCTTCAAATAATTTCCAGGATG